TAGTTAATAAGATAAATATTTAGCTTTAAACTTAAATATTTAGCTAGCTAGCTAAATATTAAGTTAAACATTTAGCTAGCTATCAAAATATTTAGGTTACAACTTAAATATTTAGCTCAAAAGGTGGTATGCAAGAAAAATCAGTAAAATAATTAATTTTCTTTATTTTTTTAATAAATTTATTTCCTGAGACTCTTCCATGAAGCCTGCCTTCATGCAGCTTATCGTGGTCCTGACCTGATCCTCCAGTCTCTGCAGAGATGTGCATCTTCATCTCTTCAGCACTGACCAGTCTGCAGGTGATGATGATGGGTTATGGTTCTTTAGAGGTGTTGATTCTGGGGACAGTTGCAACACATGCATTATTTTTGACACTCAACTTAATTATACATGCATATTCTTAGTTTTTCTTTAAAATGTTTCACATTGTCATTTAGTAATTTAATGTGTAACTATGTCTCTTCAGTGTACTTTTACTGCTGCTCATACTGACTCCCTTAAAAAGGTTTTTAATCTCAATGGGATTTTTTCTGACAAAATAAAGTTTAACACTTTATTTTGTTGTACTTACAATGACAATAAAGATGTATTTTATTCTAATTATAAACTAGAGAAATTGCATTTCCTGCAGAAATGCTGGTGTGAATGCTCCTCGCTACAGAAAACTAAAACTAAAGCTGCTGAAACTGAGCTGAAAATATTTAGTAGCAAGTGATGTGAGCTCACTTTGAAAAGCTTAAAGAAGCAAAAAATAAAAACTTAACTTTGCAGAAAAACATGTAAAAATGAGCACAAATCTACAGTAAACAACTAAAAGCTAAAATAGCTGAAAACGTCTAAGAAGCATTTAGCTTTAGCACAAATTAGCATAAAAATATGTAGGAAAAAAGCTGAAAGAAGCAGAACTATAACTAATATAGCAGAAAAAAGCTAAAATTTGTTTAAAATAAGCTAAACGCAGCAGCCACGACTTAAAATTAGCACATGAAAGATTTAGTGAAAATAACAGAAAAAAAGTACAAAAGAGTGATGATTTGTAGAAAAACAGCTGAAGTTTTCAGTAAAACAGCTCAAAAGTAGCTGGAAATGTTTTATTTAGCATACCGAACCACAAGTTTGATAAGTTTTTATATCTATTAAAAGAAAACATGCTTTTAGCTTAAAATAGCTAACTTTGGCTAATAGCAGCTGAACATTAGCTGAAATTGCAGCAAATAGCTTTAATATAGTAGAAATCATCTGTGAGAAACATAAATATTATAAAGTAGTAGAAAAAATGTAATAAAGCAGAAAAATAACAAAGAAGCATAATTTTAGCTGAAATAGCAGAAAAAGGCTAAAATTAGCAAAAAAGTGAAAAAGAGCAGAACCAGAACTAAATATTTATTAATAAACTTTATTCATTTAAATCAAAACAACATAAAAACAACATACAGAAAGAAAAATCAAATTAAATGAAAGAAAAAGAAAAAATTAATGATTTCTTCCCCTTTTTTGAAAATAAATAGGGTTTATAAAGATTTAAAAACATTTTAAAGGATATTAAGGATGTTGAAAACAGCTCCTTTCCTTTTCAGTGGAAAAAATGTGGCTAAAAATGTGAAATAGGTGAAAAAACAAAAGTCACAGCACACTTGGTATAAATGAGCTGAAAACACGTAGAGAAGAAAAAAGATGTGAATAAATTCACACAATTAAAGTAACTAAAGTTACAACTTTTAAAAGAGGAGTAAACAACACTTTTCAGCTTCTGTTTTGTTTTTGAAACGTTTTTAAATTCAACTTCATCACTTTCAAGTGTTTTAGTAGAATTAATTTATAATAAGAAAAAATAAGAACATTTACTGTAAAACAAAACATTTTTTAACCATGACGTCATGTGTTCTGCTCTCAGTGGCGCCATCTGCTGGTTGGCTCTGATTACTGCTGCGTCACCTCCTGCGACCGTTTCCACGTGAGCGCTTCTGCTGTCACGTGACAGGACGACCGGAAAGGACCTGATATGTCCGTCCGGACCTCAGACAGACTGGTTTCAGTGGTTCGGACCACTTTAACGTGACGGTGAGAGGGACAAGAACCGAACCGAGCTCCTGTCAGAACCTTCTGAAGGTGAGGAAGTCTCTGAATGACGTAATGCGAGCTGCAGGCGGGTAGTTGTTTCACTTTAAACTCAAGACTGAACTTTGTTTGTTTGTTTGTTTGTTTGTTTGTTTGTTTGTGTCTGCAGATAAATAAAATGGCGCCTTGGTGTTTTCTCCTGGTTCTTGTAATCATCTCAGCAGAACCGAACCTCTGTTCAGGTAACAAACTGGACCCGGTTCTGTGCAGAAACATCCTCTGTGTCAGTGTGAAGAACCACAAACTGTTTGTGCAGCTGCTGTTCAGATAAAGTCCAACAGTGTCAGAGTTTTGACCAGGAGGAGGCTCTCCACCACCAAATCAAAAATAACTCAGAGGTTTTCACTTCCAAACAAAAAAGTTTTGACTTTACTTTCAAAAAATAAACAGAAATATTCTCCGGTTGCCTTTCAACAAAATCCAAGTAAAAAATGTTATTTAGTGAAACAAAAACAGTTTCACTCCCTCCACCATGGTTCAGACTCACCCACCCAGGTGTCATTTTAATCACAGCTGGCCTGAGGAGGAG